CTTTAATGACTTTTTTGTACGAGTCGGTAATAACATAGCAATAAATATCATCATGACTAACTGATTTATTAGATTTAAACTTTTTAAAAGAAAATTCAAATTCCTTAAATGAAACCATAAATGAATTTAAGAACGAAAATATTGGAAACGCATAATTGTTTATTTTGTTTTTCAAGATAGGAATTTTTTGAGCCAGATTAGAACCAACAGATACAAAAAAATTTATTTAAAAAAAAATTAAAGCTTTAAATAAAAGGTTTTTTAATGGTTTTCCCAATGAATATATTAACCTGATTGGTTAGAATTCAATAAATTCCCAATGAATATATTAATCTGATTGGTTAGAGTTCAATTAAATTCCAATGAATATATAAATCTGATTGGCATTACAAAATGTAAATAATAAAATTTTAATTTATAATGTAATTTTTAGGGTCATCAGCTGCTCAGCAACTTTTTCCTAATCCGTTGAGGTTCAAAATATGGTTTCAATCAAAGACAATACGGGGGCTTTTAAATACTGAAATTAGAAAATTTAGATCTGCTCTCTACCAGATTAGCCCAATAAAGCTGATTAGAATTTTCAGAAAAAACCTAATGACAGTGGCAAAGCATTGAGAGACCACTTCACCATAAACTTCCTAAAACTTGCTCCCAGCTCAGAAGATCTCCAAGTGATTCAAATGGATCAAGTGGATCTGCGTCAGCCTAATGAAAAAATCATATCATCAAGAGAACTTGAAAGCAAGGGCACTCTTAAGCTCTGGAATAGATGGTAGTAGCTCTTTCTTGAAAGTGAGTTTATTTAGCTTAATAACCTCAAAGCTTAAAAGACTCAAAACTCAATGAGTCTGAGCCACATAGTCTTTTTCGAAGGTATAGGGGTTAAAAAGTTACTAATTGCGACAATTGCAGAAAATACAACAGAAAATTTTGAAAATGTCAAGACTTTTTAAACTTATTGATGTGGACGAAAATTTTTCTTTTAGCTCCTTGGTTATCACGTGTGACATAAAGCGTGCAAATTGTGTACTTCAAGCTTATAATAACATCCATGTTGTTGGTGTAAAATTGAATCTTCAAAACTCGCTGCATGTGGAAAACTTCGCACCTTTGGAAGCTTTAGACAGCAATACCATAGTTTTGTTAAATATGGAATGCCAAAACTTTCTTCAATGCTACTCATCCTCTTTTTTTTTCCTTTTCCTATCTTATCAGTTGTTTTGAAAATAATTCCTTCCATAGAAGTTCATTTACTTTTTGGTGTGATTAATCACATTGTGAATAACCTGGTACAGAAATAGCTGAAAGCCATGAATTGGCTTCAAGACATACACATCCCTCTTTAACCGTACCATGGTTGCCACTACAATGGCAAAGATTGAATTTTTGATGAGCAAAGTACTTTTTTATTATACCTATTAAAAAGAATTAATTTTATTTCTTGTTTTAATATTTTCTAAAATTTTAACATGTTATCTTTTCATTTGCACATTTTTAATAAAAGAGTCGACAATTAATTTATATTTTACACTGCAAAATTATAATACACTCTAATGGATTAAAAGAGGACGCAGGTCCTTTTTTAACTACTGTTAAAAAAAAAAGTTCATAAAAGTTTTGATAACCAGTTTATGAATAACATTTTAAGCAAAATATTGATAAACAATTTTGTAAAAAAAGTTTATTGATTATACTGCAAGAGTTTCTTTCACTCAGTAGAAGTATATGCTATATATTTTAGGATATATATTACATGATATATATATATATATATATATATATATATATATATATATATATATATATATATATAATATATATATATCCTGTTTCAATTGAATTTACTTAGAGGGCCAACATTTAATATGATTAATGAACAAGTAACAAATGGCGCCTTTTTTTTCAAAGGACATTTTTTCAAAAAAAAGAAAAATTCTAGATAAAGAGGACTTTTTTAGAAATTTATGGTAAAATGAAATCTTTTTTTTTATTGGTTGTTTCTTAACGTATACTTATATTTTAAATTTTCTGATCTTCAATTGAAAAGCATAGATTGAATTTTTAGAAGAATATATTTTTTTAATTTTTGGTTAGTTGCAGCTAGCCAATTACATCACTTTTGAATATGAGCGCGTTTTAGGTCACTCTCCCCTGCATTAAGTATTTTCATCTCGTTTAAAAATATTTTAGGTGTGAAAGACAATAGTAGCAGTAGTAGTAGTAGTAGTAGTCGTAGTAGTAGTTGTTGTAGTAGTAGTAGTAGTAGTAGTAGTAGTAGTAGTAGTAGTAGTAGTAGTAGTAGTAGTAGTAGTAGTAGTAGTAGTAGTAGTAGTAGTAGAAGTAGTAGTAGTAGTAGTAGTAGTAGTAGTAGTAGTAGTAGTAGTAGTAGTAGTAGTAGTAGTAGTAGTAGTAGTAGTAGTAGTAGTAGTAGTAGTAGTAGTAGTAGTAGTAGTAGTGTGTACAATTAATGTTACGTATTATTTGAAAAACTTTACTGTCATCAGCGCACAGTAGGACAGTTACAAAGCACAAATAAATAAATAATAACAGCACAAAGTTATTATTAATTTCAAAAAATCAACGTGCCTAACACACGGTTGGCTTTATTGTTTGCATAAGCTAAATTGTTATACTATTTTAAGTCTAGCGTAATCATGATGGCCATATTAGCGTAATCATGATGGCCGTTCGAATAAAGTCAAAAAATTGTTTGTTTTACCTATGCGCATGATTTTACATTTATCAATATTGAGTTTCATTTCCCAGGTTTTAGACCATTTGGCTATGTTGTAAATATCAGTATGAAGTTTTTGTGAAGCTAAAAGGTGGTCTAAACGAGCCATAATTTTTGTGTCATCAGCATATATTTTACAAGGATGGTTAACGATATCGGATATATTGTTTACAAAATTGATAATGCTTTTGACATCAGGTCAATCGGCTTCTATAAATTAGTCAAACACGCTTTTTTATTGACAAAATTTGATTTGAAGACTATGTTTGACTAAGTGATTGACCTTAGTGTCACGTAATAGTTACTTCATTACTTTACATACAATTGATGTTAAGGATATTGCCTATATCCTTAACATCAATTCTACATTCTTCTTTGAAGAGTGTTGTTACATTAGCCTCTTTTCAATTTTTCAGGACAACACCAACTGTTTAGCAACTTCTAAAAAATTATGATTAAAAGTATTGAGAAGTGGTTAATACAGCATTGCACTAACTCATTGTATCGCTTTGACATTGATAAGACGACATGTATTAGTGACGCCTCTAGCGGGGCAGATTTTTTTCCTTTTATATTTAGATGGTGAGGATGAAAGCATGTTTTTGGAGGACTCCATGCAGTACCGGTGAAAAGCACAAATTTGTTCATTCTTATCAATATTTTAAGATCTTTTAAGTCTATTTGCAATAAGTCCATTTTCTTCCCAAACGTTACTATCGTTTAATCACATGACCGAAAAACAATTTTTTAAACAATTATTAGGTGCACCATTTAAAGCATTGTTTATAATATGATTGTTACTGTTCACAAGTTTATAATTGTTGTTATTATTAAAATAAAATATTGCAAGAGTGTGATTAACTTAGTGATTATTTATTAAAAGAGTGGGGATCTAATTTAAAGAGCTATTTTATTTTTGTTCAAAAAACTTTTTCTCAAAATCTTATTGTAGAATAGTTATAAAGTATGTAATTATAAAGATTATATCACAGTCTGCATACATTTAAAATACATATTTATCTTTAAGTTGATAAGGTATTTCTTAACATCAACATTTCCCAGCTGATGAATATTGAACATTTTAATTATAATTTTATGTTTTTTGAATGATTCACAATTTCCTTTTGGAAAGCAGCAACAGTTTTCATAAATATTTTTGTTTTGTTCCATACTCAACTAAAAACAAGTTTTATTTATACAGCCCCTAATTGTCAATAACAATGATAAAATTTATGTAAATTTTAAAGATCCTTAAAATAAAGTTAAGTAACATTTTTGTGGTAAAATAAAGTTTTTATGACAACCGCCTACTAACTAATCGTTATATCGACACACAGTAGGCTAATTTTCAAAAAAGCTGGCCAAAAGTCAAAAAAAAAAAATCACTATTTTGAATTTATTATTTTGAAACTACATAAACAAAGCCCTGTTGCATTTTATTGTATAAGAAAAAATTGTATAAATTTTAAAGTTACCTATATCTACGCAGTTAAACATCTGTTATTAAAAACACTTAATTGGCGTTTTAAAAACAAAAAAAAAATGTGGTTAAATAAGTATCGTTTACAAAAAAGTTATTTATCGTTACTAAAAAACTAACTATGGACGATACTATTCAAGATATTTATATAATATTTTAGTAAAAAGTTTTATATTATTTCTCTAAATTTTATGCGAAAAGTGCGAACAAAAAAGTACAGAATAAAGTTTATTTATTTTCTTTAACCTATTTTTCAAGCATTGAAAAAGTAGTGAACCCGCGAGATTCCGCTTAGATATAATTTGGATGTTGTTCATAAAAGTTTATTTTAAAGATTGGTTAAAAGAAAAGGCACCTACTTTTGCCTATTACTTCATTAACTTATATTGTGTAGTGCTAGTCGTGTTTTTTAGTAAACAAAATGGCGGTGTTTTGTTTTCTTTAAAAAATCAGTCAAATGGATATAGTTATTATGTTTTTTGAGAAACTGATTTTGTTAAGTGCAATAAAACTACAATAAAATTAGTAGCACACATGAATGAGATTTTGACAAAGTTAGAGTGTAGGGGGGGGGGGGGACAAACCCCCTCGGTTACGATGTCTTTTTTTATCTCAGCTACGACGATTTTTGTATAGTTTAATTGAATTTTTCAAAATCAGTTTCTCAAAAATTATAATAACTATATCAATATACAATCATATGATTAATAGTATATTTTACCTTTCTCTTATATATCGAATTTATATAATATAATATATTATCGATTACTTTTTATTTTATTTTTAATTAGTTTAGTAAAGTTATAATGTTTTTATGATTTTTTCAATTATTATATTTTCAATTAATATCTAAGGTTCACAAAAAGATCATTTGCAAATTCCTCGAATTGAAATTTTTGAAATTTTAAAAAACGAGTTATCTTCAGATCTAGATGACCAGCTTGATGTTTTGCAATCACAGTTGTGTCTAAGAAGAAAAATTTGTTTCCAATTTTCAACAGATGATAAAAAGAAACTAAAAAATGTATTGACAAAATTAAAAATAAAATGGAAAAGTAGTAACCGAACAAAAAAAATATTTTTGAAGACACATGACACTTGGTTAAAAGCTTCAACAAATATTTGTGTAAGTTATTTAATGCTTATCTCTATTAAAGTTTTAAACTTTTTTATATTTACTAAACATTTAAATAATTTCAATTGCAATGGGTCGACCACCTTTGAATTTTGATGAAGCAAGTGAGCGAACGAAACGGCGAAAAACAGAGGAAATGCGTTCGACATTTAGTTCATCCGAGTTAGCGTTTGCTTCTCAGATGAGTCTTCGGGCTTCAGGAGCATGCAATGCCGGAGTTACAGTTAAAGATTTACCTTCCACCATTCAACACCGAGTCGCAAACTATATAGAGAGCCTTAAATTGTCCCAAATTTCACAAACATCTGAATTATGTGCTGAAACAGCTCTTTCCATACTAATGGAAGCAAAGCTTTCTAAACACCAATATTGCATTATAAGAAGTGCTGCAATTGCGAATAGCTCTTCTTTTTTACCATCTTACGAAAAACTTAAAGAAGCCAAGAAAACGTGTTACCCTGAAGATATAACGGTAACTGAAATAAGCGCCGAAGTAAAACTGCAATCTTTATTAAATCATACTTGTTTACGAATTATAAAAACTCAACAAGATGTAATTGACTCCTTGAATGTAAATATTTTATCAAATTTTATTTAATTCTTAAGTGAGGGTTTGATGACAGTTCCGGTTATAGCGAATATAAACAGAGATTTGCCGATGGAAGAAACTCAGATACAAATGTTTTTCTGACTTCACTTGTACCATTACAACTTTTGTGTACAAATTCAGTTTTAGGTCAAGATGTTATTCTATGGAAAAATAGGACACCCTCATCTACTCGATTTTGCCGACCTATCAGACTGCAATTTCTTCACGAAAATGTCCATACAAGCATTAATGAAAAAGACTATATTGAAGATAAAATTAAATCACTGGTTCCTCTCATCATTGTTCAACATAAAATAGAAATTAAAATACATTATAAATTGGTTATGACAATGATTGACGGAAAAGTTTGCAATGCAATAACATTGACGAAATCAACAATGCGGTGTTATTTGTGTTCTGCTACTTCGAGTCAATTCAATAATATCAATTTTGTTAAAGAAATAAAAGTTGACGAATCAAAATTGGAATACGGTTTATCAACGTTGCACGCATGGATTTTATCAGTTAGTATAGCTTCATGTCCACTTGGTGATTTCTTTACTGCTCAATGTGCTGAAATAGGTGGTTGTCTCCAAAAATGTTTACCATGCGTCCTTTACGAGGTGAAGAAAATTTGGCAAAAAGCAGGAATTCCTTTACTGACAAATACTGACAAGCATATCAGGTTTTTATTATATTAAAATGCTTTTTAATTTTTAGTTTAATCCAGTTTAAAATTGATATTATACAAGTAACAATTATAAAGTCATAACATTTTATATATTTATAATAAATTGCAACAGTTTTAATGCATTTTTTTACTTTTGCTTTAGAGACAAGATTGTTGACTTAGAAAAGAAAAGGTTTAAACAAACACAGGAACTGTTTAAGTAAAAATTTAGTTTTAAACTAGAGAAACTTTTTCAAGAATGCTAGAGGAAGTATTCGATGTAAGTCAAAACAATTGTGAACATACTATTATGAAAGATAAAACTAAAGATTTCAAAACTAGAAGAGAGGATGTAGATTTTCTTAACGACCAGAAAGGAGCGCGTGTTCAGAAAATGTTGGGTAAAGATAACATTTCACAAAATATTGTAAAAAATAAAAGAAAAAAAGAAATGAAAAAAAAAAAAAGTATAAAAGAATTCATAAGAAAACAAAAAGAGTTGTTTACTGAGAAATTTGGTGACACAATGAAAAATTTAAATACTTTAGATAATGACCAAGATGAACAGTATCTACAGCCTTCTATAAAAAATAAAAAATCTAATGCTGTTCCTCTTACAGTTCCTAAAAATATAAGAAAAGATTTAGCTCCAACAGCATCACAATATAGAATAAGTTCGACTGCACTGAGTGCAACTCTTGCTTCTCTTATAAATAACAGTTCTGGAACAACAGATGATTTTTCTATTTCTAAACGAAGTATTTTGAGGCAGAAAAAATCAAGTATAAGTACAACTGCATGTAAAATTAAAGACAACTTTATTATATTGGCTAAGGGTAAAAGTCTTACCCTGTGTTTTGACTCCAAAATTATGGTAGAATTGAGAGAAATTGGTAAAGAAAAAGTTGAAAGATTAGCTGTGCTAATCAGTTCACCAGATCTTTCAGAATCCCAACTTTTGGGTATTTTAATTGTGAAAGATGGCACTGCTGAGTCTCTTGGGAAAGCAATCAAAAAAACTTTACAAGACTGGGAGCTATTTGACTATGTTGATTGTCTATCCTTTGACACCACAGTCACAATAAGAATAAGAACTGCGCGACGCATAAGCACGACGTGATTTTTGACGTCATTAAATTCTTTTTATTTGCTTTTCATATTTATCGACATTAACTGCACCAATTTACTTAATTACCGCAAAACTACTTTAAATTGTTTATGTAGAAATGTTATTATTTAAAAATGTTTTGGAATATTTCGTTTTTTAAAATGTAAAAACATTTGTTTATTTTCTCGATGTTTGTCACATTTTGTCTATACTAAATGAATAAAAAGCATTATAACTTAAATTTAAAAAAGATTATAAGATATGCTAATATTTGATTTTATTTTCCTTAAATATGTAATTTAAAGTTTTTCAAATAATTATTTTTTCTTTTTAAAAAGTCAGCGAGTAATAAACTGGAAATTTTAATATTGTACGATTAAAAACTGTGCAATAGCTAATATTTTTACAAGCGATTTATATAATATTTATTTATTTATTTTTATTTATTTTCATAAAGCGTTTGATAAGCACAATCACTCGTATTACTAAAAAACCATAACAAATGTTTTAAATATTTTTTAATGTTTGCAAGGAATTTTATTTCTAGTAAAATAAAATAAAATGTTAGAATAAAAATCTTATAGGTATAAAAGAAATATTTCAGCGAAAAAATTATTCTTAAAAATTGTTATTAAAAATTATTCGAAAAACTATTGATGTTTTATTTTTCAGCAGCTGTTCTTGAGCACGCTTCGTTGAGTTTCGGTAACTTTTAACATAAAAGCGATCGTTATTATTTATTTAAGTAATTTTTTTGAGTTACTTTTTACAAAAATTTTAATAACTGTACTTTTTTATTGAATCAAGTAGAATACGTTTTAATATTAATCCTTTTTTTTTATTTATTTGCGCTCACCAATTTTTAAAATGTTTCCTCGAAATTACTCTTAAATATTACTAAAATTATTATTATTATTAAAAATTACTCTTAAATACGATTAACAGTTAATAAATATTTTTAAATCTATGGAATAATTTTAAAACCTAACAAACCCCCGTAAAATAATTATTTAAGTTTAAAATCTAAAACTAAAAGAAAGTATTTTTGTTCAATTTTATCAACAACTTTGTTATTGCTAAATAATTTTATTAAAATGTTAGCTTAAAAGATTTGAACTTTTTTTTTAATCTGAATTTTTTCTACTTGTAAATAATGAGCATATTTAATTTTTTTTAATTCAAACTTTTATTTCAACTGCGTGCGGTTTTTAAAATACTTTATTAAATGTTAAAATAATCGTAAATTATTTCATTAAAATTCCGCTCAAAAATATCTTTAAATATACTCAAACAAAAATTTTTTTGCTCGACGCAAATAGCCCTAGCTACAGGCAATCGCTCTTGGACGACGTAAAATTCACATCGCCCGACGCTTTAGCGCAAGGCCTGTGATATATAATATAATTACAAGAGGGAAAGCTGATTCGTGAAGTTGGTTCATTTACAGCACTATTTTATGTTCCATGGTTTAGCTCCTATCCCAGCCATAGCACCTTCTTTAGATCTAAAAGCCATTAATGAAATTATACAATATTCTGAATTATGTCTTAAACCAGCAGAGGCCGTACTAAAGTCACTTGAAAAACACAATTGGTATTTAAATGAAAGATTTGTGGTTTTGTGTCTTGCTGATAAATGCTGACCTGTAGATCAGCTACATAAATTAGCTCTTAGATTAGCTCAAACAGCAAAGCCTACTAGTTATAAAATGGGAAAACTAAGTTCAGAAATTTTTACTGACAATGAAAAAAAAAATAACAAAAAGAATTGAAGTTTTTATTGGTCCTGAAAGCTGGTTTTTCTTTGATTTACTTAAAATGACATTACATGAGACAGGATGGCTGAAAATCAGTTCATCAAACTGGGAAACATGTTCAGGTTATATAAGATTTAAAAATTATATCACTGGTCTTCTTGTTGTAAATGACAGTGCAGAACATGCAATTAAACTTGGTCAAGACTTTATTGAAACTTTCCGAATCGAAGAAGATAACCAAGCTAATTTACTGGTTGTTGCAGATCATCGTCTAAAATTTCAGACAACAGAAAAAAATCTAGGTTGAAAGCTTTAAAATAACTTTTCTTTAAAAAACAAATACAAATGTAAAAAAAATTTTTATTTAAAATTGCAATAAAAAAGTTTTACTCCCCCCCCCACCTTCCAAATATACACAGCATGTCTTTAAATGGGTAGGGCTGACCATTTCATTTCATTTTTTGCAATAAAACAAAATATAATCTTAAATAAGATTTATCAGGCTACAAAAATAAACTTTAAGATATCTTTGAAATATTTGAAAGTGACCCAGCCCCCCTCATTATTTACAAAAAGTAGATATTTTCAAAATTTCGGACTGCTGGGACCGACCATTGGAGTACCCATAAAAAAAAAATTATATATTTTTAATACAGATATCAAAAGGAACCAGAAAAACTATTATGGTATTTTTTTTATTGACTTAGGTGTTTTATGCCCCACCCTAATATATATATATATATATATATATATATATATATATATATATATATATATATATATATATATATATATATATATATATATATATATATATATATATATATATATATATATATATATACATACACGTGTATACATATTGGGTAGATTCCAGATTTAAATAATTCATTTATTATGACGCTTAGAAGGTAACTGAGTTCTTGAGATGCAAGTTTAGGTATTTTTAAGGGAATGCTGTTTGGTTCAATACCTTTTTTTGAATTCATGGCAGATATATAGTCTTTAATTTTTTAAGCAGTAACTGGGGTTATATAAAATGAGGTAGGATTTCAGTTTTTAAGATAGTAGCTAAAGTCATTTCTCGGAGGTATTATTTTGATAACAATTTTGATTGAGGAAGAGGATAGACCATTGGTCTATCCTCTTCCTCATATAGAACCTACACTGAAACATCTATCTAGAACACACACTGAAACATCTATCTAGAAAAGTTTACACTGAAACATCTATCTAGAAACTTCTACACTGAAACATCTATCTAAAAACTTCTACATTGAAACAGCTATAGGCGAAATTCGAGTACCCCGGACATTAAAAAAAAAAAAAAAAATAGCTTGGACATATGTATTAGAAAAAAAAGTGTCAAAAGACTTTTTTAAAAATATAAACTTTTATCTATTAAATAAGAAAAAAAAAAAAAAATTATTGTTTACCTTAATAATATACAAAGCATAAAAGACCAAGCTATTACAAATGTATATATATATATATATATATATATATATATATATATATATATATATATATATATATATATATATATATATATATATATATATATATATATATATATATATATATATATATATATATACATATATATATATATATATATATATATATATATATATATATATATATATATATATATATATATATATATATATATATATATATATATATATATATATATATATTATTTGAGTTTTCATGCTATATTTTTCTATACGATGTTCTTATATCTGAAGATATTGTTGGCTTAGCATAGGAACAGATAGTCCAAGAACAGATAGTCCAGATAGCCACGAATAGTCATTAAGACTAATCTAAACTAGCGTCCGTTATTGAAAAACATTTTTGAGTACCAAAGTACTACTCAAGCGCTGAGTTGGTGGTAGTGGGATTTGAACTCGTATTGCTCAACAGTCTGGGTTTTAACTTTTCTTTTAATGCTCTAACCATCTGAGCTATCCCGCCACAAAACTTTTTGACATCAAGAAATGAACCTGGAAACCTTGGTTGGCTAGCGGGAGGAAGAATCCACTCGGCCATGCTTACAATCCATATATATATATATATATATATATATATATATATATATATATATATATATATATATATATATATATATATATATATATATGTATATATATATATATATATATATATATATATATATATATATATATATATATATATATATTTAATTTTATTTTAGGAGTTTTATATTTTGAATTGTTTTACATTTTTATTTAATAAGTTAAATATATATTTTATATATATTTAACGTTTTATTTTATATTAGAAGATTAAAAATTAGTAAATAAAAAGTATTATTTTTATATTTGTTTTATATTTATATGTTAGAGATTTATTGGATTCCAATATTAATGAGTATAACAATAGGGTGTGAAGAAATTTAAGTCTTATTGAAATATTAGGTAATAGTACTTGATAATAGAGTATATAGTATTGATAAAAATATAAGTATGTTGGGTTGAATATAAATAAAATTTATAATGTAAATATACTGCTTATAGATAATTATGTGATAAAATAATATAAATAAGATAATACAAGTGATAAAATTTAGTATATTATTTTATAAATTAGTATATTTAGTATAGTATAAATTATTGTATAAATTTAGTATATTTAGTATAGTATAAATTTAGTATGACAAGATAATGCATATATATATATATGCATATAAATATATACATATATACATACACGCAACATATACTTAAATATATATTTATATATAAAAATGCACACACATATGAACATAAAACATACATGCAGTACAAAACATACACGTAATATAGGCAATTTATATATATATATATATATTTTTATTTTTTATTTTTTTAACATCTTCGCTTCCAACAAGGCTGCAGGCAACTGCTAGTTAGCGTTGGAAGTTACTGGAAGGGAAAAGATGAAGATTGTAGAACAAGATAATGATTGACAGACGACTTAAAAGATTGCAAATTATATGAATCAGAAATGCAAGATGAAGGAAGCGAATTCCGAATAAGAGTTTTTGGAACACTTAGGAATAGTAACAGAGAAAGGATGAGACTTAATTGAATGACGAGTAACACGAGAATGAATTTTTGTAGATGGCACAAGAGACGCTAGCACTTTAGAGCAGTGCCCATTATAGTATTTGTAGAAAAGAGAAAGAGAAGCAACATTACGACAATGTGACAGAGGTTGAAGGTTGGCTGCAAGAGTAGGTTCAACTATGTTTACAATGCGTTTTTGCACCTTGTCTAAAAGAGAATG